TTGTATTAGAAAATGTATTACAAAGACCATTCAAGGATTTATTTTTTTTACACTAATTAAACAATAAAATAGTAGCTACAGATAATTGTTTCATTTTGTTTAATGACATATGAGTTTTGCTTATCATTAGTCCTGCTTTGGCTGAAGGAGATGTGTTCTCATATATTCTTGTAGGCATTAATAGGTTATTTCTCTTGCTGAAATATGCAACATCAGAGAGAAAACTTTAAAGGTCAGCTTAAACCAAAACAACGTCATACCTACGGAACAAAAAATTTGATTGACTGAGCTGATAAAAATCAACTTCCCCGTTTAACTGAGTACAAGGCCCACCTTATTTACTGCTATTACAGACATTATGTGTAATCTGCCACTGGGTAAAAACTGCATAAGATCACATATTAGTTCACCTTAATACAGTAAAAGGATCTCATTTTGAGTTATCTTTCATTCCATAGCATGTTTTTCTAAAAGCCATTTCGATCATATTACAAATTAGAAATCCCAATATGACCTCACCAAGCATATGAGTTTTCCAGGTCCCTTGGTGTTTAACAACACATACTGTCTGCGGTTTTGTTTTTAATTCAGACCCGTTTCTATTTATAGCTCTAAAACACATGTCTAGTAATGCACTGCTGTCCTCTAGTGGTGCTACATTGTAAAAGGCATGACTCTTTTTGTAAAGATACTTCTTAAAGATGAACAATATACAGTGTATAACAATTTTGGTATTTTTATTTTCCCACATTATTGTTATAGTAAATGTTCCTTCTTTGATCAAAACTTCTGTGTAGAAATTTGAACAGGATTTTAATCATGTTTCTGTAAAAAAAAAAAAAAAAAAAAGAAAACACTGTCAAACAGAAATTAAAAGTAGGTATGTTTTTTTTACAGTCTAGTCAAAAGTCTAATTCAGAACAATACTGAAAAAGGCACTTTTTGTTCCTGTAAATATTACCTCAGTTTTATGTTAGGTTTACTGCAAACTGCCATGTAAGTGCCCTTATTTCAAAATGACACTTTTTATTTAATGTGCTGGAATTAATTTGTAACTCTATCCATCAAAAGGCAAGTCAATTTAATTTATCTTAGCAAATAGTATTAATAACACAATTAAATAGAATATCATCTTATATACTGGGAATAAATAATTTGTCAATGATATATGAAGAGGATCCAGCAACGAGGAAATGCACAGAAGGTGTATATATGGGGGACAGAACAAAGAATGGTCTAATTAGCTGATGTGGAGCAGGTGTTGATGGAAGTGACTAGAAAGGAGCTCATTAAACGAGACTGGGACAAGGAGGCAACACAGAGTAACTAAAAAATTAACAATGCTTAAATAAAACACAAAATGGGAAAAAAAGATCAACAGAATTTCTGAAAACTCAAAAAGAAACTTAAACAGAAGTCCACAAAGGGCTGACTCATGACATATTCTCCCCATACATATGGGTTCTCTTTGGGTAATTCAGCTTCCTCCCACAGTCCATGTTCCAACATGACTGGTAAGATAATTGGCTTCTCTGGAAAAATTTACTTGCAAAACACAAGTACATATTTTGTTGATAGGAGAAATTTGGTAGTAAAATTTACCTGAGTTTGTTTGTTAAATTTACTCTTCTCAGTAAATAAAATCAACTTAGATTCTAATGAGTAAAATTTACAAAGAATTTCTATAGGGAAAAAGTTACCTAGCTTTTTCTAAGTAAATGGTACTTCTGTGCATCTCAAATTTTCCAGCCCATTTTTAACAACAAAACATATATTCTTAGTCAACACAGCAAGTATTTCTGGCTAAATGTATTATTTATCTTATTTTGCAAATCATCAGCTATTAAATTCTATAACAAAGCAAAGCCTGTTAATTTAGCTTTAAAATGTGCTGCATTTGTTGATTTAGCAGCAGACTAGTTATCATGGGCTGTGTCCATAAAGAATTTGGCATCTTATGGTTGATGTTGTCTGGTGGCAATACAGTATTTTTTTTTTTGTTACTTCAACGATTAGGTCCAAATACAACACTAAACAAAGGTGAAATACAAGAAAAGGCTGTCTGGAGCAGTAAGGTTTATGCAATAGTTTTCAACAGTTCAAGAAAATTAAACAATTTTTTTAAAAGAAATAATCAAAACCAATTTTTAATATTGGGGGTTTTTCATTTTTAACCTGGAAGATTGATATGTTGCATATTATAAATCAAAACTTGTCCTGTAAAACAAAAATCAAACCAAAATGTTTTGTTTTTTTCAGTAATGATGTTTGAAAGAAACAACTGCAACAGCTTCATGGCATAACTTTATACATTAAGAGGCCAGTTCTATTGTTAAATCAGAGAAAATGCTTCCTGCTCTGGATCAACTGAGTTACCTCACAAAGTTTGCTGGAATTTTGTCCCATTCCTCATGGCAGGAACTTGTGTAACAGACTCAGTTTGTTGCTTAGACACACCTTTTCAGTTCTCTGTTTTTTAGTAAGAACTTCCTTCCTGATAAGTGGCCTTTACACCGACGATGGTGCAGCATTTGATTCTCTGTTGATAAAGACTCTCTTTCACCTGCAGGCAGCATGTTTATAAGGTCTTTTCCTATTGTTGCTTTACACATTTCACACCATTAATTGTTCCTTTCTGGAACAAAGAGGCCACCTCTTTCCCGAGATGTATAATCGCCGCTTATCCCAATCACATTCATGATTTCACGTACAGTATGATTTGTGAAAAGTGTGAAAAGCTTAGACTTAGACCAACTTTATTGTCATTTGCATACACAGAGTGAACACAAAACGAAATGTCTCATGACAT